AAAGTAAATTAGAAAGAAAGTTTTCTTATATTTAGTGCGTTTAAACACTTATTATTTTAAAGGTTCTTATTTTAATTTTTTTCTAGCGTGAAGTTTATGTCTTTTCCTCATACAACCTGAAACAAAGTGAAACAGAATTTTGTTATATATATATATATATATATATATATATATATATATATATATATATATATATATATATATATATATATATATATATATATATATATATATATATATATAACAATATTCAGCCTAGAAAAAATTAAAACGGTTCGTGTTTCTTAAATCTATACTAACAAGTTACACTATTTAGATTAGAAAAAAAATATATTAATTTTTTTTTCTACAATATCAGAGGCGTTTGTAACGTGGGCTAGTAGGTCAGGATCGTGACCACAGACTCAATAAATACCTGGGACAGATTAGCACACCTGATTCCATTTTACGTGAGTCAAGGTAGACATTAGAACTGTTTTTTTTCATTTCTGGATTTTTTAGACAGTTAAATTTTTGGGTACTTTGTTAATTAGTTTTGCAGTCAGAATACTTCGATAATTTGGGGATGTTGTTTTTTTAGCTGAATGTTTTTAAGATAATTAGTTTTGCCAGTCAGAATATTTCTGTAATTTAGTAATTTTTTAGCTAAATATTTAAAATAATAAAAAAAAATTTGTTTGTTATTATTGTTTATTAATTCTTAATATTATTTTGTTTGATTTTTTATTAATTTGTTTTATTTTGAACTGTGAAAAAATAAATATTCTCGGCGATACAACTCGTCTAAAACTAAAGATTTTGTAAACTGTGGTTAATAGGTAAATAGTAAGTTTTGGACAATTTTGTTGAACGTTAGCGAAATTTGGTTGTTGTTTTTTTTTTAAATTATGTAGGCCCTATTTAGTTTACGTAATTATAATATAACTTTAGTTAACTTATTTTGTTTGCTACTGATTAAGTTAGCACTGAGTATAAAATTGTAGCAAAGACGCAGTTCTGTGTTCCATAAACATGTCGCTCTTGTGTTCCAATACTCCATAAAGATGTCCTATTTTTGTTCCATTGTTCCAGAATCATGTCGCTCCTATACGCTCTCCTCCTTGTGCTCCCGGCCTTGACCTTGGCCCAGAATGACGCCCTCTTCAACCAGACGGCCACGGCCATGTTTCACGACGTCGACGTCAACAATGACCACATCGTGGACATCAACGAGGTCCATCTGAGCTTCCAGGTGAGTCCTGTCACTGCGAAAGTAGGTTGGGGGGGGGGGGCACTATTTGTACTAGGGCATGGGATGAGGGGCACGATTTGTACGAGGATATGGGGTGGGGGCAAGATTAGTAAGAGGATGTGGGGTGGGGGCGGGCACGATTTATTCGAGGGTATGGGGTGAGGGGCACGATTTGTACGAGGACATAGGTTGGGGGGGGGGCGGATTCGAACTTGAGAATATTGAGTTAGAAGTCGTATGCTCTATCATTCGACTACGACAATTTAGTTAATTAACTTTAAATTATTTAAGGTGAATAACATTTATGGTAATTAGACAATCATAATTAATTGCCAAGATTGCCATTATAATGGAAGCATTCCCAAGTTGTGTTTTATTCTGACTTTGTATTGTAGAACGTAGATAAACTTAGGGTCCCTCTAGAATTTTAACACGTTTGTAGAAGCCAAGTAATATACAATTTTAGACCTAACAGCCCATAGGTGCGATGAAGTTGAGTCCACCAGTTTCTTTAACCACATGCTGGTATATTGTGGTCAACACTATGTCCAGTCATTTTTACTATCCCCAGCTAGATTCGGTACCCACTTTTTTTCCAAGGGGGAGGGGGGGGTAGCTTAAATTTCCGGGGATGGGGAACTTAAATTTCCGGAAAGGGGGGGGGTTCTTATATATATATATATATATATATATATATATATATATATATATATATATATATATATATATATATATATATATATGTATATACATATATGTATATATATATAGGTGACCCGTCAAAAGAGCGCACGACAAAAGAGCGCCGACATAAGAGCGCAGACAAAAGAGCGCCGACATAAGAGCGCCGACATAAGAGCGCAGACAAAAGAGCGCCGACATAAGAGCGCCAACAAAAGAGCGCAGACAAAAGAGCGCCGACATAAGAGCGCAGCCAATTAAAATAACACATGTTGTATGCTAAACTTATATGACATGGTTAACACTTGTTTTAATTAAACAATCGGCGGTACGATAAAACGACGTGTTTATTTATATAAATAATGGTTAATATGTTATGAATGCAGTTTGAAAATATTTCTAACCCAAGTAACATGGAGAAGATCGAAGCACAGAAAGGGAAGGTTATTATATTAGTCGAAGGCTACAGATATAGACAGGACAGAGCAAATGCTGATGGAAGCACGACATTTAGAGGACGGATAAAAATGCTGAACAATGTTGTTATATCATCATCGAAACACAATCACGCTCCTGATCCGGCTAAGTTGTTTCGGCTATGTGAAAACGGGCAGTGGAAGGGAAAAACCAACGCAGATTATACAAGCCAGAGAAGGAATTCTCGATGGAAGTAGCACCTCATTTGTCGGCATACGTCAAAGATCACATCGAAATCAAACTGGAACGTCATCTAGCTGGAGTTAATCAACCAGAAGCTTCAAAGAACAATTATGTTCAGCTGAACCAAAGATTGCAGGGGATTGCTTCAACCTATGCTAATGATTCAATGATGGACTACTTGCGAGGTATAGCCCACAACACAGCAATATAAATGCAACTATAAAGAAACGTTTTATTGATTTAAACTTATTTTCATTTTGTTACATTTCATTTCAGTTTATATTCTCACTTGAGCCTAACATTTAAAATCTTTGTATGTGTTATTAGATTGCGTTTTGAATAATTGGACTTCACGTTGATTATACCAGTTTTTTAGTTAAAGAAACTGAACAATTGGTTTTTTAATGAAACAATAAAGATTCAACGTCAAACGATGCCATCTGATCTGAGTTAATTTTCATGTTCCTATTTATTAAATCTGGTTTTTCAATTTTTAGTTTGCGCTCTTATGTCGGCGCTCTTTTGTCGGGAAATTAGTGCGCTCTTATGTCGGCGCTCTTATGTCGGCGCTCTTTTGTCTGCGCTCTTATGTCGGCGCTCTTTTGTCGTGCGCTCTTTTGACGGGGTGCCATATATATAATGGAAGAATTCCCAAGTTGTGTTTTATTCATACTTTGTATTGTAGAACGTAGATAAACTTAGGGTCCCTCTAGAATTTTAACACGTTTGTAGAAGCCAAGTAATATACAATTTTTGACCTAACAGCCATTTTAACTATCCCCAGCTAGATTCGGTACCCATTAGAAGGGGATAAACTAAAAGAAGTCCTACTGACTCGAGCCCAAGCATTTGAACCATTGACTTTACTAATTAGCAATCAAGTGCAACACGCTAAATATTTGAAACACCTTTATAGGAATATTCATTTAAAACCCTATGATTCTCAGTCGCCGCTTTTAAAAACGTATATAAAGTTCTGGTATTAATAAATTAATTCTTCTTCCAGATCGACTATAAATATGCCTAGCCCCACCTATCCATCCACAAATACAACTTACTCTATGATATTCCCAGCCCCATTATCCATTCACAAATTCAACTTACTCCACGATATACCCCGCCCCTTTCTCTACTCACAATTAAAACCTCCGTATTATCGCCCCTGCCACTACCACCTGTATAATTACCTCCCTTGCTGTTCTCTCCCCCAGAAATACGACACCAACCACGACGGCAGAATCACCAGACACGAGTACACCACCTACGTCGCCTCCCACACCCCCGAGCTTCTGGACGTCGCCCACTCCATCTACGACGTCTACGATGTCGACGGTGACCACCATCTCGACCAGCACGACTTCGACAACTTCTACGGCCTCATGGATGGGGACGGCAGCGGCACGGTCAGCGAGTTCGAATTTGTCAGGTCAGTCAAAAGCTCTGTTTTTTTCATACACTTTTTTTTCCAAGGGGGGGGGGGTAGCTTAAATTTCCGGGGATGGGGAGCTTAAATTTCCGGAAAGGGGGGGGGGGGTTCTTATATATATATATATATATATAAATATATATATATATATATATATATATATATATATATATATATATATATATATATATATATATATATATATATATATATATATATATATATATATATATATATATATATATATATATATATATTAGTCCGGAGAGAGGGGGCGAATATATGCCTGAAAGAAACTCTGGGTAGGGCGGAATCAATTATTTTTCTTCTCTTGTATCTCTTTACCCTCTCGGGTCTGGCGGTCCAAATGAAGTAGAGTTCACCTGTTTCTGTGACCTCGATAAATAGATAGTGTGCTCAGCACTATGCCCAGTGCCCGTCAGAGTTGGGTGGGCGTCTTACGGACTCGAGCACGGGATCCGAACTTGAGATTTTCGGGTTAGTACTCGTACGCTCTGACCTCTGACCAAACCCTCTTAAAGTATCCTATAACCTGTGAAACTGTACAGTAGTTGAACTTTTAAATTTCGACTAATCTGAAGTGATTTTTTTCTAAAGTTTTAGTCCGCTTAATCGTATGTGTAGTGTATAGCCCAAAACACAAATAATCTTTTAACATGTGTATTACATTTATTGATTGAGAATTGATTCGTTAAATAAAACAAACTTTTATTTTTTCAGATACTGGATTATTTTATTCCACGACATTGACCAAATTCACGGTTAAAATGTTTGAATTATTTCAAGCATGAAAGTCGATTTCTGTGATTGAAGCAGAGAAAACGAGATGTAGATCTACAATATGATTTTTTTTTACTGATATTAAATAAAATCTTTTATCAGAATTTTGAAAAACGTTTTGTTGTGATTACATGTCTTGTAATAGGCTAACTGGAAGCTTTTAGCTACCTTGTGGGATTTGTTTCACTTGTCTTTGTGTTTAAATTTTAAGGATCATCCAAAAACGATGTCACGCTTCGTCCGCAGACATTTTTCTCCGGAAGAAAGGGCACATGAAAATGTACTTATTTTTTATTTGGGGGGGGGGGGGGGGTGGACACTAGTTAAATTATGTATCTTCTATATTATTACAAGCAGAAGAAAAAAAAGTCTGATCGGACGTCATATCTCAGCCAAAAACCTCCTCAAAATTTCAATTTCTTGTTATTATGTTTTTTACATCGACTTCATTCTCAAATATGTAATGAGATCGGTCAACATTGAGTATATTAATCGATTTCCATTACAGTTTAAACAATCTGTTTAAAATGCGAAAGAACGGCGAGAATTCAGTTTCTAACATTACGTTTTATAATGCAGAAAGGTGTCCCTTCCCGCTCGTCACACAAATGTCATAAAAATCGGAACACCCCCACCCCCTTTCGAATGCACTGGGGTAATTTTTTTTAATATTCATGGGGCTACACTCTTATTTACTTAAACTGTAAATATTTCATGACTTGTATTCCTTTGACCGTAAAAACAAAGGCAAGAACGACAATTTTACACGATTACTGAAAAGTAGAATATTATGTAGTCAAACTATTTTCATTAATCTGTATGTTGTCGCAATTCTAAACATCTTCCTACAAACTCGTCCAAAATTAAAGCGGGAGTGAGCTTCCTAATTTTTTCGTCTATTCTGTATCATAGTAATGGTTTTGATCGCTTTTCTAGTGCTACCGGGCTATAGAGAAATATAGAAGTTTATGACCCGGTGCTGTTTTGGTTTTGGTTTTTTTTTTATGCGAAAACACATGGACGCGAAAAATTCTTACAATATGCTGCACGTCATGAAATTATGATATAAAATCAAATTCTGAAGGTTTATAAGAAATCGGAAAAGAAAATTACCCCTTTCGATTACCGGAAATTGTTTAAAAATTGAAATAAATCTACTGGAGCTAATACCTATAAAGAGATTTTTATGAAAAAATTGAAACGGTGATCAATTAATCGGTATTTTAGAAACGGGAAACATAGTTATGTACCATTTCCGGTGACTCAAAAATGATCGAGGTATAAGTTTACGATCTTATACCGTCTACTAAACTGAAACAGTAGGCCTACTCTAGTCGTGTTCCTATGTAAATAGAGTAAATTACTACATCCGGTAGGGGTCAGCGTGGTCAAGTCGGTAAAGCTCATGTTTGCTAAACCGAAAAACTTCTAGGAGAGAAAACTCCAAAATCAAACAACTGCTGCCTTGTAGTTTGTTCTTGGTCGGACAAAGGATATGGAAGCAAATCCAAAAAGAAAAGCAGACTGAAATGGCGCATAACCAGTTGACACGTATACTTAGTTGGAGGGCATCCCTTCCAACACTAAAATTAACTGGAAATCGTTCAAACGTTTATAGAAACATGTGCATACAATGCAATACTAACGTGTGAAATTTCGTCCACCTAACGTTATTCAGGTTATTGGCTTTTAATGTACCACTTCCGGTTACCGGAAATCGCTCAAAATCTAAATCTATAATGGGCCACGTTCGCACATCTCTCTGTCCGCAAAATATTTTCGCCGGACATCATGTCAGAATCGGCAGCGATATATGAAGAACTTTTTACGGACTTTTATTGAAAAAAATGTTAGATGTTTTAAATGTATAACCACAAAATTATGTAAAGAAGAAAAATAAAAAATAAAGGCGTATTCGAATGTAGAGAAACAGTATTATTTATGCAACCGGAAAAGTGTATAAACTTGAGACAAGAACGCATTTAACAATGACGTCACACTAAAAAAGAGCACAAAACTGATGACGTCATCTTCCGAGTTTAGAATAAAAAGAAATGAACTATTTCATTCAAATATGATTTAGAGCTATGTACGCTATGAAATGTATACAATACGATTTTCTCGGCCTAAACTTAAAAAAATTATTTTTATCTATTTGGATTCTAGATCTAGAGATTCTAGATCTAGATATTGATCTCGATCTAGATATTCTAGATAATCTAGATCTAGAGATTCTAGATCTAGATGATCTATAAAGCTAAGTTGTCGGGTGCCCGATAGGGCACTTCCCGGCGCCGCAGGCGCTACAAATTTGGCAGGATCTTGCCTTGGGGCGACAGAACACGGGGGCCGGTTGGCCAAAAAGTCTACGATGAGGGGGTCAAAACTGACCTCGACTGACCAGCGCCTTATATGGGCGAATTAATTAAGCATTCAAATTCTCAATGTTTTCGAAAGCCTAAGCGAAGCTGGGCAGCATGCCTAGTTATATATGAATGTTCGTCAACTTAACTGAGACGGTACTATGTTATCGTGCAAACACAGACAAAGTTGCATAACTAAGTTTTACCAGACTCGGGAAGGTGTAAACGTCGAGATTATTAAAATCTCGATTTTTTTTTAAAAAATTTTGACAAGTACAATGCTCCCTCTAAACTGCGTACACAAGAAAGTAAAACATGACTTATTTTGTAATGTGTAGCTCAGTGGCGTAGACAGGGAGGTTAGGGGGGGGGGTCATAACCCCCCCCCCCCCCCATAGACCCCTCGCTATATATAAAAAGTATGAGGGGGTGCAAATCGAAAGTTTGAGGGGGGGGGGGGGGTGCAAATCGAAAGTTTGTCCCCGGGTAAAAATTGGACCCCCCCCCATGAGAAGATCCTGGTTACGCCACTGGTGTAGCTTATATGTGTGTTTTAGTGTGTGTATATGTATGTAGTGTGTATCATGTATGTAGGCTATTGTGATGTATATTTAAAACACTACTTGATTGGTCAGATAGCCTCATCAATTGAAAGAACTTGAGATACGTTTTTATGGTAGAGAGATGAGTATAAAATAAAATCTCATTAATTGTTTTATAATATCACATTTTTTCTTGTTTAATTCAATACAAAATAATATTTCAACTTTTTTTCATGCTTCAAAAGGCTTAACCTCTTTATTTGATGTTGCTTTTTTTTTAAATTGTTTTTTTTTTTTTTAAAACGTACAAATAATTATAAAATCGCTTTAAATCCGCTTGGCCATGGCACAAAATCGACAATCATATCAACATTAAAACAGCTGTGTTCAGTAATTTTATAGGCCAAATGAAATAGTAGGCCGACACGCCAGTTAGCTTGTTTCAAGAAAAACCGTACACTATTGTTCGCAAAAACAAAAACAAAACAAAAAGTTTACGACCTAAATTAGTGCGCAGTTAAGCAAAATTGATCCCTCCTTCCGAACCTATAAAATCAGTAAAGGCCTAGATCTATATGTCGTCATACTAATTTCGGTCAGTAAGACAATAAAAAGATTTAACAAAATTTATTTTGCATTTCGTCAGCTGATTTTACAAACAGTCGCTCTTTAACGAAAAAGTTCAATTATAGCTTGAACCAATCATCAACACAAAGTTATAAATAAAACTAGGTCATGAACGTACACATCAACACCGAAGCACGATCTAGAACGTGGCAGTTTCTCAATATTGTGTTCCTAACACATCTTTGTTATGCTACATGTCATCATTGAAACGAATTATCACTCTCATCGTATAATACGTCATTGCCGCAATATTTAAAACAACATTTTTAAGAGAGGTAAACTCAAATCCAAATAGGCCTTTAAGATTAAGTTCAAGACTGAGAGTACTGTCTTTTTCTTTTGTTTTTTGAGTAGACTCGTTGGCCACTGGTTGACCAAGCAAACAAGGTCCAAGTTCAGTTGAGGTTACAAAACAAAGTTGGTAATCTAGATCTAGAATCTATATCCGAATCAAGACTAAGTATTTAGTAAATAGACTCAGAAGATCTAAAGTCTAAAAAATTTGTCACTGTAGTTACAGTTAGTTATTAAGTTATTTGTCAGTCAACAAATGACACATTCTCATTGTCCAGTCATTTTGTACTAAGTACTAGAATTAGATCTATATTATAATCTATAATAATGTGAAGTTACTGTTAAAAGTACAACACATTGAGTGATTGACATTGTAGTCTATTGTAGTTTGTAGTAATATTACAGTACTACACTCACTTGGTTATTATAGTATAATTATAGGCAGAGACAGCTGTACAGTATTCTCTGTCATAACTAGATCTAGATCCACAGGTCTATACTTCTTGTCTTATGTTAGGAATAATCGCTGCAAAGTAACCTGAATTAATTAGGGCCTATTATTTTACTTTATTTATGTTTCACTAGTTATTTACTTTATTTATGTTTCACTAGTTTCTGGCTCCAGTACTAGATTCAATTACACAATAACACGCTGTACTTATAATATTCAGTTTCTGGGTTAAAATATCCTTATGTAATGCTTTGTTTCTTTACAGGCCCTTTTGTATTCTAGGTGTGGTTTTTTCTGTAAGAATTAAAGATTTCAGCGCTATGGGTGACACTGCCATATCCCAGAAATCATATTCATCAGCAGATAAAAAATCAGATATCACACCAGGTATGTCAAACTCATTACTATTGAATGCTTTTAAAAAAAAATGTATAGGCCCTAATAAAAATAAATTTATCACTTCCTTAATTGTAATGCTGTTTGGAAACTACTTGGTGCTTAAAATAAATTAGAATATCATTCAAATGATAAGCAAGGCCATGATTTGCTAGTTTAACAGCATGTAAATTTGTTTCATTTCCTTAAATGGTGTGGTTAAACTTTTAATCTCTATTGAAATGTGACTCTTCAGAAGCAGCACAGCCCTCTGGTGGCTTCCTGTGGAGAATGTCCAGTGGGATATACAGCACAGCTTCAGGAGCCGTGGGCTACGGTGTGGGCGGGGTCAAGTGGGTGGCTGGAAAAACACTAGATGTTGGCTCTGCTGTTGCGCACAAAACACTGGACGCAGGTGCAGCCGTGGCTAGCAAGCTCCCTATACCTTCTGTTTCAGTGCCATTTACTTCAAAAAAAGACAAAAAGGAATGATGTGGTTACTGTGCTGTTCCTGTGTCTTGTAATTTCAACATAAAGGTGTGCTTGCATCAGCTGAGTTTTGAAATGTGAGTTTGGAGATTTGAATATTAATGTATTTTATCTGGTAACATTGTATTATCATAATGTATTATTTATGTATGTCTTATGCACCAACCAACTTTCTCAGCCAGTATTAATGCTATGGTGGGTTAAGACACTTTATACTGGTTTAAAAAATGTTTTGAAATTCAGTATTAATCCTCAAATGTATCAAAAGATTTTGGTGAAGAAAAATATTTATCTTGAATTGATATGATAAAAATATTTTTTAAAATGCAATTTCCAATCCAGATTTGATGAATAAAGTTTATTTTCTGATAAAGAGAATAAACAAAGAAAATTATGTACGTACTGTTCTATGTGGTGTTAAAAATTACAAAGTAAAATTTTGAAGCAACATTGAATGTTTGTAATTGTCTCAAAATCTATGTTATTTTGTAAGCAGATTTGCTTTAATTGTATTCTGTAGTGATTACTATGTGCAGAAATTAAAACCTTGAAAAACTGTTGAATAATATTTAAATATGCACATATTAATGTAAAGTTCTTCGACTGGTCAGACGTTCATCTACACACATCAAACATTTTTATAAAAACCTTCAGAACAATATGCCTTATGAGCTGCTGTTCTACAAGTATATTTCTGATTAAAAATCTCATTTGTCACAACGATTTTATTTTTACTAAATAGCATTTTTTGTTATTTAAAACTATTTGACAAAGTGATCTTCAAAGATGAAGGAAAATATGTTATTGCATTTAATTTTTCTTTTTATTTACAATTTATTTTACACCTCTAGTCTAAAAAAAAAATTTTTGTTTAAATTTAAAAAATCTGATCTATAAACATAAGATGGATCATCTGACTCCAAACCTAAGGCAGCTCTTGCAGTCTGTGACTTGGATTTTTTTTCTTCTTCTTCCCCTGTATGAATCAGAACATTTATTTTAACTTAGCTCAGTAAGGATTAGACAGTATTTTAACTGCTATTTTATTACTGGCTGAAACAATGATTCATGTGTAAATAAGTCGAATTGTATTACTATGATTAACAAGTGTTTCAATGATTTACTAATGTTTTAATTCTCATGTTATTTTGTGTAATGCAGTTTACCTCAGTCGGTAAATTATTTTATATATATTATATAGTAGTCCAAGATTCAGCCTAATTAGCTATTTGTATTTTTAAGCAGGAATTTCTCGCTCACTGTTTTGTTCATTAATTCCCAAAGCAGTTCTCTAGGGTGTGCGTTGTGTCCACTAAGCTCTTCAGGTACCATATTAAATGGAGGTTAAGGCTAAAAGGTATTTTTTCAAGCCCTGTGTGGAGTGTTTTTTTCAAAGATTCATTTTCTTCTAAAACATATCTATAATTGCCATATCCATCTGATCTGAGCAAGACTTGGTTAATATTTTTTCAAACAAAAGTAATAGGTAAATAAGTTTGTTAATTTTAATTTATCATCTTATAGAAGAGAATTGTTTATGATTTATTCCTTAGTGTGAGTGTGTTTTTTTTTTATTTCACAAAAGAATTGTTGTCTTAGTTGTTTGAAATGAGACCACATTTCTATATACTCATCAATAACTTGTTTTTTTTTTCTCTGAATATTTACCTTAATCTTCTTCTTAAAACACATGCCAGCATGTTCATTATTCTTTTTTTCAAATATAAATTTTGTCTTGATCAATGTTTTTCAGTATATTTTCTACTTGACGGGGGTAATACAATTTCATTATGTGTTGTTTCGTTTTAAAATGTGTCGTTTTTTTTGTTGTTTTTTTTAATTAAGAACAGTAAAAAAGTTTTTACATTAAATATTTAGATCTTTTTTGGTTCGAGTAACAATAAAAAGACTTGTTTCCATCAGTATTCATCCTTAGATGCAAGCATTTGTTTGTGATATTATAATGGGTATTCCCAAAGACATTTTTTGTTTTGGTTGTATCTTCAAATATTTTTACATGCTAACATTTGAGATTAATAACAGATATTAAAGTTCTAAAGTTTTTTTTTCTTGTGAATTTATCTTGATTTAATTTGCTGTATATTTTCTAATCCTTTCATTTCATTTAGCACCTATACATTGTTTAGAGAATTTTAAGTGCCCATAAATAAGTGTTGTTGGTACTCTTCATACTTTACAGTACCTGATTCGAATTATTTTTATTTTTGCTTTAATAAAATGGGATCAATAACTATTTATAGGTCTACATGATCGAAATTTTTAAGACTTGTTTTTGTTTTAATTTATTTTGATCCACATAGTTCGTATCTTTTTTTAAGTCAATTTATTCCTTAACAGTTGACACGTTTTGCTAGATATTTTTTTTTAAATTGTCATTAATAATATTTTAACAGATCTCTTAATCTTTTTGTCAATGTAATACAATAATTCAGGGGAATAACTTTTGAAAAACCTACATTTTTTTCTTTTGCTAGCAAAACAAAGTACTTTAAGCTTCCTTTGTATTATTCCGCAAGGTGCACAATGCTTTTGTTGATTCAATTTTTCCAGGGTACAACACTATATTTGCTAATAGCTTTACATCAGCCACATTGACTTTTTTCTGTTATAATTTTAAAGTCATCTTTTGTTTCATTTCCATTAAAAAAATCTACCTGTAAAGTAATTATCATACTAGTAATTGTTTTATCTTTCTATAGTTATTGTTTATTTTATCAATATCTCAAAATATACGAGTGATAACTTGAAACCATATTTTGTTAGCAACTTCTGTATTTTCAATCCTCCTCATTTGGTAATTCTCTTAACTATTGGCCAGAGATTGTGCTATGCATGTCCTTAACTTTTTTATTCTTGTGATGAAGTCACAGGTATCAGCACTCATACTCATATAGCGGGCATAAGCGAAAGGTTTAGGGGGTTGGCTTACCCTATATATATATATATATATATATATATATATATATATATATATATATATATATATATATATATATATACATACACTCACTATACTAGTATGTCTGGTATAAAAAAGTCCTTCAGGAACCTGTAGTCACAGGTTACAAATGAAACGCCTGTAACCTAGGGCGACTAATCCAAAAAACTTAAATGTTTTGATACCTGTCTCATGTGTGTACATTTTAATTTGTCGTTGTAAAAGTATACTCTTAAAATTTTCAAATGGTATATTTTTTACATACTTTTTCTCGTTGTGATTATCCCCATCATTTTCCTGTAATCTATGAAACCATCACCAGAAATGTACCTCTTGTGTAAGAACTTGACCCATAATTCTGTGGCATTTCTCTGGTGTTGGAAACAAATACTCTACAAACAATCAAATTCACTGTATATTGCAGTAGTTTTGTTAAAGCATTTTATTACATATCCTCCTATGTGATAAAAGTAATCATAGCAATACAAAATATAATTTAGTATATTGAAACCAGACCTAAATTATTCTTAACTAAAAAATATTATGAGCGATTTTCTATTTAAAAAAGTAACCTAAATTTTTTTTCATTATATATTTTATACCTTTGTGTATAAAATTTGTTTTAGTCTTGAATGATAGTGTCCCTAAAAGATTAAACACTGGTTATTTTGAATTATTTATGGCTTTTAACATTTATGTCTCATTAAAAATATTTTTTACAGAAAAATGCTTAAAAATGCTTTTTAGCCTATAGCTTGGATATTGTGTGTTATTTTTTTTTCTTGAAAACTAAATTTGTTTGTTTTTTTGTTTTTGTCAATACATATTCTCTTTGTTCCCAATTTATGTTGAATTTTATAAAATTGTGTTGGTTACTTTCTATTGTACCACATCTCTGTTGCCATACATTTTTGAACGCTCCATTTCAAATTCACCAGCTCATTTTCTATTTAAAGTCTTTTTTCCCAGTATTCTATTATAAGGTTATGGGAGTTTATTTTTTGCTTCTTTAATAGGATAGTATTTTAAAACAATTTTGTCATTTCTCTTTTGAGAGGACTTGTAATACTTGATGTTCTCATTTATCACACATGAATTACTGTAAAGTGAAGCGTACTGGCATACAGAAAAAAAAATGTTTTTTTCAAGTTTAAAATGTTTTCAAATGGTGTTGAAATTTCAAATTTTAATGATTTTTAATTCTACTAACTTTTGATTGGTTTGGGGCCTTACTGTAATTGGTGAGAATTAAAATAGCAGCATAATTTATGTGACATATATATTTTTTATTAGATGGTTAATATTACTATAAAGTGTGAAGAAAATTATTACTACTGCGAAAAAATAGTCCAAGTGTTTTAAGTATTTGTTAAATCCTTTCAAATTTTCAACTATCTATATTTAAAATAATTGGTTGCAATTCTGAATCACCAATAGAATAAAATATGTTTTGCCAGAAATTAGCTGGCATGTAATACATCTACTTATACAGTAGGCCAACAAATTTTAGTATGAATGATTGTAGGTTGACATAAATTAAGTGGGTAGCCCACTAGGTATTATATAAGAACAGAAGATAAAATTACCTGTAATTTTATAATCATATCATATCAGCTAGCTTTAAAATAATTGTTTGTAGTCCTGAAACAACAATATTATAAAGTATGTTTGGCCAGAAATTCTGACTATTATCTGGCATGTAATACAGCTACTTATACAGTAGTCCAACAAACTTTAATATTCATGATTGTAAGATGACTGTTTAACTATAAATTAAGTGGGTAGCCCACTAGTTATTTTTTAACAGAAGATTAAATTATCTGTAATTTTATAATCATGTCACCAGCTAGCTGTTTATTAGAAATTGTGTGTTCTACTGTTCTATTTCTAGTAACTACACAAGAAGCAAACGTGCATATTTTTGCTTAAAAACCTGACATGGAATAATTTATGTAAACATTACCTGCATGTATCAATCATGTCCAATAAAGATGTATATCTACATTTTGAATTGAGAGTTGATGTTTTTTATTTTATGTTAGTGGCTAGTTGGTGTATATTTTAACTGGTACTAGCAGCTGCCACTGTGCATCCTAATATATTAATTCAGTTTTCTGTATTACTTATTTCATTATAAAACTATGACTAAATAGCACATTACAATGCTTAAATATTTTTAAAAATATATTAGCTTATTTATATTGCATATGCTCTTAGACTTAAAGGGTTGTAATGTTTTGTATAAATAACATTTTAAAATGTTGTTGCTGTCCTTTGTCTCAATTTTGACGTACTTGCAGAAAACGCTTAAAACTAGATTAAGATATGGTGTGCATTTAATGGATAAAAATAAGGTTTTCATTTCCCAAAATCAATTAAATAATGAGCTGGTAATGTTTTAAAACATGGAATGTTAAGCCATGCTAATTTTAATCTGCTTTGCAAATCACACATGAAATAAATCACCTAGATCTTTTAGATAAGTAATTTTAGAAGACTCTCATTCACTTCAGTTTTTAAAACATCCTCTGAACAAATACAATATTTATAACAGCCAATAATTAGCAAGTCGAAATTATTTAATTGATTGCAATACATTTCTAAGATATAACTCGTATTGTTTCCCTTTAACCAAGGGATTTGACAAAAAATAATATGTATTTCTAGATCAATGTTGATTTTGCCGACAGCGTCGATAATTACGATTAACAATGAAAATTGAAGCGAAAAAAATCCTAAACAATAGCATAGGTACAATGATCAATTTTTATTACAAAATTTACAAAAACAATCATTTACAAATTAGCATCTAAAACTAATTCAATTTAAAAATTACCCATTTAAAATGGAAACGTGACGTCATACTTTTAACACCCGCCCCCACGTCACGTAAGTCGTAGCGTGAAGTGTGACGTCATTTATTAAATTAATTCTACACCTCCGCCTACTGTTTGTTTATATCTTGAGGCTAAAACTTAGGTCGACAATCAATTAATGTGTTTTATCTGTGTTCAGTTGTTGTGTTTGTTAAAGCAGCGTCATCACAAAAACAACGGCAATGAAAATAGGCTGTAAAATAAAAAGTTGGGACGGCGTGGTCGGGCGGAAAAGCCAAGTGTTTCTTCCAGACTTTTTTCTCCGGGGGGGGGGGGGGGGGGCACTTGAATTTTTTTTTTGGGGGGGGGGGGCGGACATATATATATGCTTGGAAGAAACTCTGGAAAAGCCTATGATTGCCAACTCAAAAAAATCCTGAGTTTTGACTCTGGTCTGGTAATATTCACTAACTGAGAATAGCTATGGAAGCAAATCAAGAAAGGAAAACAGATCGAAGCTAACGAGCCATGAAGCGCACATCAACATGCTGACATGTAATACTTTAATTATTTTGGAGTGGATAAGAAGGAAGGAGAAATGAATACACTTTTGTCTACAAATATATGTTTAAGATACTGAACACTGGAAATATGTCTGTTACATGTTTATTTTATTAGTCTGGTACTGTCAGGGTTTCTTTCATGCATTTTTCTTAATAGGGGTGTAGGGCTACGTAAAAATTCTGGGGTGGGGATGGCGAACTTAAAATTTTAAGAGGGGGAGGCATTTCTTAAAGAATATATTTCCGTATTTCCTATATAAATGATAAATTGATTGTATTAGTATTGTGTCGTGGAAGTAGATGTAATCCAGGGAGATGCCTGAAAGAAACTGTAGAGTACCGTAGTGACGTAGTGTTATATAACAAAAACCAGTGCATAAAATGGCACTGAAACTATCAAAAACATTGTAAAAAGCAAACGGTCAACGCTTTCCGCGGAAATATTATTGACTTTAGTTTTAATGTTAAAGGAGATCCTCTCTTTCAATGAACACGACTCGTGGTTGTCTTTCTTTACACTAACGTGATCCTCAACACAAGCCATCGGAGTGACTGTTCCTGATATCGCCATTTTGGAATTTTTACCATCCTTTCCGTCCGGAAGTAGTTTCTGCTCTTGACGATACTTGCGCATGACGTAAACAGTTGCGATGATAGATAAGATACACTCGAGGATAATGTAAGAAATGAAGAGCATTATTCGGGGGATTTTTTCTGTCTTGGTGAGATTTCTCGGCAAGGTGGAACTGCGAAAGAAGGAATCTAGTGCAATTTTTAAAAGTATTAATTTTATGATATCAAAAAGTTGTCTAAAGTTTGTTGATTAGACACGTCTTTAAATTTGCTAAGCAAGTTAAAAATCATTGAGGTTTTCCGTTGCCTTAGATTCAATCAAACTTGTACTTAAATAGGGCCCTAAACGCGGTAGATCTTGTTCCGTTGACTTAATTCTTAATTTAATTGCCCTTTGATTTTTTGTCATTGATCCGTATTTAGTGTTTAACTAATTAGATTCTTTTTACTGACCGTAGCCTTGATCACAGCTTAGAATCCCTCTAAGTGTTCTAGGTCCCTATATCTTAATTTAGATTCTCCCTACGTTGCTTTTAAGTCTGTTTTCAATGTTTGGTTGTTGTTTTTCTACAACGTTTAAGTCCCCTTATCACAAGCGAGACTCAATCTATAGATTTAAGTCCCCTTATCCTAGTCTCAATTCCATCCCTTGTTTAAAGTCCCTTATCGTAATCTATATTCCGTCTGTTAATTTAAGTCCCCTTATTCTAGTCTAGATTCCATATCTTGACTTAAGTCCTTTTATCATAGTCTAGATTCCATTTCACGAGTCAAGCCCCCTAATCTTAGTTTAAACGCCCCTAGCCTTGAAGCTCTAAACTTAGTGTACATGCACTTACCCCACGAAGCTCAAGAACAACGACGTGGACATGTAGATGGACACCATGAAGGACATCTTCTCCCCAGAGTCGGGCGGGATCCAGAACACGACCAGGGTCAGCAGTGACGTCACCACCATGGGGATGACCACGCACAGGATGTAGTACAACGTGGCACGTCTGATAGACACGGACAGAACCAGGTATGGCATCTCGATCAAGGAAGCCTTCACTTCAAACGACGTGCTGATCTTTTCCCATTCGCCTTGGAAAGTTTTAAGGTCAAATACGAGCGCTGATTCGTTCAAGATGGAGGGCTCGACCAGAACCGTCACGCCTTCTCCGTACAAACCCAGGACGATGCTGCAGCTCTGCGTGTCGAAGGGGTAGTAGGTGAGGTCAAAGTTGCAAAAGGTCGTGATCGAGGTCAGGAGTCGGTACAGCATGACCCCGTTTGAGGTCAGGAGGACGGTGTTGGGCTGGGGTAGCAGGTAGCTGTTGTCGCTGTCCGTGTCGGTGTTCATGGCGAAAACCTCTGGGTGCCAGAATCTGTTAAAAAAAAAAAAAAAAAAAAAAAAAAGCCACCATACTCACTAGTATTAGTCATGTTTTTTTCAGGCATCTTGTCGAGATTCATTCACCCCCCCCCCCACCCCTGAGCACGTCCCTCAACCACCACCAACACCCTTACACACATCCCGGCCGAAATATAAAAAACTAAAAAATTTCTTCAAGGCATCTCTTCGAGGAGGGGGGGGGGGGGGAATGAAATTTATATAAAAATATATACTTTTAACAGTGTCCGCCCCCCCCCCCCCCCCCCGGAAAAAAGTCTGGAAGAAACACTATGTGTTTTAAATACCCCACCCCTCCCCCGGAGCAAACTATCTGAACGAAAGCCAGAACACGCTGAGTGCGTTTGTGTGATGTCATGGTTGAGTGGTAAATGCAAACACTCGCTCTTTGGCCGGAGATCATTGTAAATGTATTGAGTTGACCCTTTGACCCGGCTCTGATAGGTCATGACAGTTAAAGGATGATAAGGTCCAGTAGGTGCTGACCACACAAACGAAATAGAAATTATGATTTATTATTTAACATTAAAAACTTTGACGTATAATTTACAACATTGAACACGACAATGTTTGCAATGGCTGTAGGACAAGTAGCATTTGACACCAAAAATATATATATCAAATACATGTATAACTAACTCAAATGTTTAACAAATTCGTTTATCTATTCAACTTATATTACTTCGTTGTTGTCGAAAAGAAAAAAAAATTAAATCCTGCTTTTTTAAATAATAAAAAATAATAGTTTTTTTTAAGATTATTTATAAAATTAGGTAATCGAACACCGGACAAAATACCTATAGTGTATTCGAAAATACCCAACAAAATACTTACTGTCCAGATGGTAAAGATACGAACGACCAATTAGAGTAATTCTGTGCGTCCCACGCTAGATCCTTGTCGTCCCAACTCATCTCAAAATAAAGCTGGGTGTCAATAGTCTGCTTGGATTCTAACACTTGGGATACCTAAATACACCAATAAAAGGACGTTTTGTTGGCAATAACTGAGAAGTTAGTGTCAAATGTATTATATGGCGGCTAAGCGAAGTAACAAAGTTCATCAAATGTGTGGGGCTAGCTGTGCATGCATGCCAATTTCGAGTGTATGTTATCTAATTTTTTGAACAGTTAATTTTGACTAGTTTTTAACCAATTAATTAATTTTAAAAAAATGAAACTAATAAAGCAAACACTGTCTAGCACAAAATTAGAGTTTCAGATATTATACTCCGGGGTGAGAATTTGAAACTTCAGGGGGGGGGAGGGGCCACTATAGCAATGGATTTTAAGTATATATTTGCTATTGATATTTAATATTTTTTCTAATATGTTCATGGAAGCCGTGGACATATTGCGAGGAGGGGGACTACACCACCACCACCCCCCCCCCTCTTTACACACAACACCCCTTAGATATGCCTGAAAGAAACACCGCACAAACTTTGGCTTACCTGAACTAAACAGACTTTAAAGAGCACGTTGACGGTGCGGCCCGTGGGCAGGGGACTTAACTTGTTCTGTACAAGGGGGGGGGGGACTACACTCCATCCCCCAACACGCAACACCCCTTAGATATGCCTGAAAGAAACCCCGATCGAACTTTGGCTTACCTGAACTAAACAGACTTTAAAGAGCACGTTGACGGTGCGGCCCGTGGGCAGGGGACTTAACTTGTTTTGTGTAACTTTTTGCTTGGCCAGGTCCTCGTACAGTCTGGCCAGTCCCTCACGCTCTGGACTCATGTCCTGGTACATGCCCGCACGTGCAGGTGACCAGAGACTCACCAACAACAGCAGCACTGACACTGAAGTGCTCAACATTTTCATCACCTGTAAAAATTGATTACCAGTTTGTAATTACATTTTTTTATCAATGTGTGATTTACATTTTAAAAAATCACTAGGTAATACAAAATTAAAATTTTAAAACGTATTCCTTCCGTTCAGAATTCCTATCGAAGTATTCTCTGGAGTGGCGTCGAGTTTTTAGTTTACCCTTTTACTAACGCTAAAGCGGACCATAACTTTCATTCTATCACCAGTAATTCTAAATTTTAAAAAAATAATCTATTCAAGTCTAAAGTTAAAAGAAAATGTTTCATCAGTTTTGAATTAAAGAACTTCTAAGTTTATAAAGTGGTTACTTTAATTCAAACGTGATGAATATTTTCTGTCAAATATTCACTATAACGTCATATCTTAAGAAATTCATAAACATTAAAATTCACAATATTCTCCGGAATAAATTAAAGGGAGATAAACAAGCTCTAGTCTGGGAGTGCTTGCCCTTTGCTAACGTCACAATTAGACATCCTATGTTGCAATGACTACAGTTTTGTTGTGATCAACCGATATCATCTCCGCTACATCAGTTTTGCTCTAATTTGAAAAAAAAAAAGATAATTATAATTGTAGAACGATTAACCGATCGTTCGTTTTTTTTTAAATTACTTGTGTTTAAGGGGTAAAAATGCAAATAAACATCAATCTGTTGGAGATAATCGATACTGGCAACAAAATAATGGCTGTGTTGTTTGAGTCAACGATAGGATTTGGTTATCAGTTAATGGCTTGGTGTTTAGACAAAGTGTTGCTGTGTTCTGTCAATGATCAGAATGCGTTGATTATGTTGTGACAGCTTTTTATCCCATGAAGGTTTGGGAATGGAATGGCCGGAGTCAGAGACTAAAGCTGATAAACGAGGCAACTCTATTAGAAATAATTAACAGGCAAAAAAACACAATTATGACTTGGTTGTAGTCAGTGGCGTCACGAAGTGGTGGCATGGGAGGAGGTGCGGTCCGAACCAGGTAACGTAATTAAGAGGGTGACACCACGACGAAAAATCACGTTAAAATAATAAAAATGGTAGGGGGACAGGGGTGACAACAAACCTTAAATGCAAAAAAAATGTTTGAGGTGGGGGTGGTTGGGTGACACCCTCAGTTACAGACCTAGTGACGCCTCTGGTTATAGTCATTTTAAAAGAGGGGGACATCAAAATGCCTGGCATGGAGAAGTTTTAAAAATTATTGAAAAGAGAAAAACAAATTGGCAAAAAAAAGTAACTGCTTAAAATGAATGAAAAACGTAGTATTAGCTTACGCTTCACTGTAAGTTGTTTTTTTAAGGGGGGGGGGGGTGGAGAGACTAGTGTTAAAGGAAGGAGTGAGGCGGTGGTCACATAGAAAGTGAGTCACAAGTAGTTCAAGTAATGTGACTTAAACTATATTTGTATCTGCAGTAAATATGGGACCACCAGCGGTGACGTGACACATTACCGTATTTTACATTATAAACACGGCACCAAACCCCATCATTGCCACTTTCTTTGTTTGACGCCACGGCACGAAGGACAATGTTTACATAACTCTCGAGGTAAACACAAACCCAAGGGACAAAACTCGCTCAACAACAGAGAAAAGGGTATACGCGTCATTTGGTAGCAAAGTTGCAGTAGTGCATTTTGTAGTGGAAATCGATTGCTTTGATATTTATTGAATATGTCTCTGATTTATTGACTGGCGCAGTGTGTGTGTCTGTGTGTGTTTGAGTGCGTGCGCGTGTGTATGTATGTATGTGTGTGTGTGTTTGTGTGTGTTAAAATATTGTTTCCAGATCAATGTTTTCGCATTTTTAAAGATATTAAACTTAGATTTTGACCGTATGTCAGTGTGTGTATGTGTGGGTGTCTGCCTGTGAACACGATAACTTGAGTACCGTCCCAGCTTAGTAGATGAAATTTCATATATAAGTAGTATATCAAATGTTTAGTTCTGTAACAACTTTTCGGCAATTTTCAGTAAACGGAAGTGGAACTTATTCTACTTTCAGTTTTTTTCCACGGTCGAAAAATTGCGAACAAAATCTATATAAGAATATTCGAGATAGTTTAGGGGACATCAATCCCGCTTTATTTTTTATAGAAGACAGCAATATTTGCTATTATCACTTATCAAATATAATTTTTTTTAATTTCTCGTATATACGAAGTATAGAGAAAGTCTTGTAATCGTGCAAAACAAAAATCGAGATTTTTACAATTCTCGACGTTTTACACCTCACTGATAAACATAATTTTGCAATCTTGTCCGTGTGTCTGTGTGTGTGTGTCTGTGTGTGTGTGTGTGTGTAAACACGATAACTTGAGTACCGTCACAGCTAGGTTGATGAACTTTCATTTATAAGTATTTTATCAAAATCGTAGATCCTGATCAACTTTTGACCGATTTCCGATAACCGGAATTGGTACTTTTTCTACTTTGAATTTTTCAAAAGCCTATAACTTAAGTACTATTTCAGATAGATCAATTGAAATTTCACATGTAAGTAAAAGATCTAATTCTCTACCTTCTGTCAAATTTTGAGTAATTTCAGTTGACCGGAAGTACTAATTTACGCTATTTCCGATTTCTCAAAAAACGCATGTAAATTTATAAAGTAATAATAATATTGCACACTATTATGCACATTTAATGTGGTGTTCAATTGGTGTGCAATTCTTTTTTCTACGAGATTTTATTCTATTTTAAAAATTTAAGTATTTAAAATGGAGTTCCTATTGCCTGTAGTGTTATATAAGAATATTCGAGAAAGTTTAGAGGAGATCACTCTATTAAAAATAGGCCTACTGTTGTAAACATTTTAGATTTATAGTACTGCTTGTCTAGATCAATGGAAGACACAATACGGTTATGATAATAAATAAATCACTTTATATTATTTCTAATATTTTAGTATGTGTGATCAGTCCACCTTACATTTGCAAATGTATACGAACTATAGAGAAAGTCTTGTAATCGTGAAAAAAAAAAATCGAGATTTTTACAAATCTCGACGTTTTACGGAAAAACATAATTTTGCAATCTTGTCAGTATGTCTGTGTGTCTGTGTGTGTGTGTGTGTGTGTCTGTGTGTGTATGTGTGTGTAAACACGATAACTTGAGTACCGTTACAGCTAGGTTGATGAAATTTCATTTAAAAGTATTTTATCAAAATCTAGATCCGTATCAACTTTTGAGCGACTTCCGATAACCGGAAGTGGTACTTTTTCTACTTTGAATTTTTCAAAAGCCTATAACTTGAGTACTATTTCAGATAGATAAATGAAATTCCACATGTACGTAAACGATCTAATTTTCTACCTTCTATAAAATTTTGAGTAATTTCAGTTGAACGGAAGTAGTAATTTACGCTATTTCCAATTTCCTCAAAAAACGCATGTAAATTTATAAAGTACTAATAATATTCCGCACTTTTATGCACATTTTGTTTTGGCGTTCGCTTGGTGCGCAATTCTTTTTTCTACGAGATTCTATTCTATTTTTAAAAGTTTAAGTAATTAAAAATCATGTCTATATTCCGAGTTGCCATCCCACTTAGTGTTATATAAGAATATTCGAGAAAGTTTAGGGGAGATCACTCCCGGTTTATTTTTTTAGTTTTAATAATTCGATCAATGCCCGACCAGGAAGCTGGAGAAATAACACTAGACCGTGGGTGTAATGGTAAAAGTGTTTAAAACCTACCACGAGCTTGCCTACGACCCTTAGTCTATGACTAAATAGCGTTTGATTAAAGTGATATCAAAGACATGAATACCTAGTGCAGCCTTTTATCTTCTACTAGCAAACAACAGGGAGACTAACGAACTGTTCATAGAAAGCATTGGGTGTGAATTATGCGATTATTGTAGTGAGATGTGTGTTGGGCTCTGTGGGGGTAGTGGGTTGTGGGTGAGGGGGAGTGGGTGGGTTTTAATGTATGTTGTATGAGTTGTTGTGAGTTGTTGTGTTATTGTTTGGGTATACAGGCGTTGTTGTGTTATTGTTTGAGTATGAAAACGTTGTGTTATTGTTTGAGTATGAAAACGTTGTGTTATTGTTTGAGTATGCAAACGTTGTGTTATTGTTTGAGTATGAAAACGTTGTGTTATTGTTTGAGTATGAAAACGTTGTGTTATTGTTTGAGTATGTAGCTTTCTGTTGTTTTTTTTCAATTATACAAATGCCATGTGTTATTGTTTAGGTATACACGCGTTGTTGTATTATTTTTCTGATATACATGTGCTGTGTTATTGTATAGGTATGAACACGTTGTGTTATTGTTTAGGTATAAACGCGTTGTTGTGTTACTGTTTGGGTAAAACTGCGTTGTTGTGTTTTTTTAGATATCCATGTGTTGTGTTTTTGTTTGGGCCTAACCGAGTGTAAATCAGATAAACCAATGCATAGGCCCATGATTATCATTCGCTGGAGTTCACTGAATAGCATACGATTGAATTGATATCAAAGATATGAATACCTAGTGCAGCCTTATATCTTCTACTAGCAAACAACAGGGAGACTAACGAACTGTTCATAGAAAGCATTGGGTGTGAATTTTGCGATTATTGGAGTGAGATGTGTGTGGAGTTGTGGGTCGGGGGAGTGGGTGGGGTTTAATGTATGTTGTTTAAGTTGTTGTGAGAGCGTGTTTGCCAGGATTGGGGTTTGGTTCGGTGTGTGGTTCATGGTTTTGTGCGGGTGTTGAGTGAAGTGGTGTTGGGTTGAGACTACTCTGCGGGGTGTATGTGGTTTGATGTGGGTTGTGTGGGGGTGGGGTACCTGGGTTTAGGGTCGGAAGGGTGGTGAGGGGTTTGGTTTGGGTTGTGGTTCGTGGTGAATTATTTCCCCTTCTTTAATTCTCTCCCCTTAGTTTTTTAACCGCAGATTATGAAAAAAAAAATTAGCTTTCTCTAATAAGAGCAATTGCCG